GTTGCTGATAGTATCTGGTCAACGGATCCGAAGTATTTTGCGTAGGCAAATGGTAATAAACACTTGTATCTTCTGGATGATTGCTTTTGTAGTTCTCCAAGTCTCTGACTCATGCGGTAGAACTGTTTTGACATTTGTATTGAAAATTGTGAATTTGGTGTTGGTTGACAGATGTTTTGAGTTCCAGATATTCTTCAAATGTGAATATGCTGGTCTTGCTTTGCCGCTTTCACATCTTCATCAGATCCGCCGTGCTCATCAATGATGCTGCCCAGGTATGTAAAGGATTTAACATCTTCCAAATTTTCTCCGTCAAGTGTGATTTGATTGGTGTATACTGTGTTGTACGGGAGAATCTTGCTTTTCTGTTTGTGTATGTTGAGACCTACTGTTTCTGAGGCTGCTACTACACTTGTCCACTTCTCCTGTATTGGTTGTTGCATTTGCTATAGAACAGCTAGATCATCTGAAAAGTCTAAATCGTCCAGTTGCATCCTAGCTGTCCAATGTATTCCATGCTTATCCCCCCTCCAGTTATTGAAGTCTTCATGATCCAGTCGGTCACCAGGAGAAAGAGGAAAGGTGAGAGTAAGCAACCTTGCCCGACTCCGGTCTTTACTTCGAACGAGTCTTTCAGCTGTTCTCCATACACGATTTCCATCATAGGAATTCTGTATAATATTGACGTCTCATTAACGTCTCATAGGTACATATAGATACATACATATAACTATGAAATGATACTGAACGGTGTATATATTGTACTAGAGTATTTCTTTTTTGAAAAAAGTAACTACTTCTTTCAATCTGATATAATCAAAAAACAAAAACAGCAGCAACAACAACAACAACATGAAATCATAATTTTAAATTAAAAACATAAACAAAATTACTTAGACTGTTCCCTCGAATTTGTCACCTTCATTTTAATTCTAATTAAACTAAATTATTTCATGATTTTTAAAAATTTATTTTCTTAATTAATGAATATTTTTTCTCAGAAGGTGTTTTGTGGAGATTTTAGTAATTTCAATAGTTGAAATCATGAGTCAATTGAAGCTAGGCCATCATGGAAAACCTGGAAGCACTGGACGGCCCTTTCGTCCTAGTATGGCACTCCTCACCAGTGTGCATCCACGATCCCCCCCAACGAGATTCGAACCCAGGAACTATCAGTCCTATTAGTCTCATACAAGGACGAAACGGCCGTCCAGTGCTTCCAGGTTTTCCATGGTGATCTAGCTTCAATTGACTCATGATTTCAATCAGTGGAATATTTTTTTTCTTAATAAAAATAAAAAAAATATTGATTGCTGTTTTTTGTTGTTGTTGTTATGGTTACTAATTTGATTGGATGAATATTTTTGTTAAGAGATTTAAATGTAGATTTTTATCACGGACAGTTAGTAAACAAATCTTTTTCAACAAAAGCAACAACAACAACAGCAACAACCAAGAAGCATAGTGAGCAGTTATTTTGTTCGAATTTAGAACTTTGTATTACTGTTTTGTTCTTTACCCCAAAAACCAGTCTAGCTATCAATAATAACTATACTGAAAGTAGTAATAGTGGTGCGACTATAATTTATGGATGACCTTTCAGCGATGCTAGATTGAACTTGAGAGTGTGCAACTAATAACTAGGACCAAATGTGGATTATAAACCAGTGTGAGGAATTATAATTATGATTTACAGTTGATGATTAGGGTTATAAATTAGATTTAGGGTTTTCATCACGAACAAACATTAGCTATAATGCCAAAACTCTATTTACCCAAATGGATGAGTGAATTTCGCGCCAAAATCCGAGACCTGTTATCTTATACGTGATTGGTTCGTCCAGAAATTTTAGTCTCGCCGTAGTAGTAATATTAATAATAATAACAGTAATGGCAACAATAAGGATATGATAAATAGGTTGTGATTAACAATGGGATACAGGATCGGTGTTTTGTTCAACTTGGAACTCATCAATTAGGTGTACTTTCTTTCTAGTGGTAATGTTTGTATTGACATGTAAACTTAGTACAGTTGACTTTTAAAAATGACGTGTAATCCATTAGGCTATTAAGTCCTGATAGCCACTTACTTGTGTAATGGTACTGGGTTCGAGTTATTGAGTAAACATCAACTCTGGAATGCAAGCACAACCAGCTGATGAGTCTCAAATAGGACGAGACACGCGTTCTGGATTCCACTGCTAGCCATCATTCATCTTTGCTTATAAAATAAAGTTGGTTAAAAACTTGCGAATTTTTCAGTAAAGTACAATAATAACACTGACGTGTTATTCACCTAGCTACTGAGTTCAAATAGCTGCTCACGTATGTAATGTGAATGGTATTTCTATTAATTTTTTAAGTAAGAGTATGAATTAACTCGTTATTCATATTCATGATATAATTTCGATTAGTCTTTTTTAGCAATAGCCATTATATCACAAGTTTCAGTGGACAGATGAACTGTATCTAGGTTCCACTGATAGCCACGATTCATCTGTTTGATAAATTATTTGTCAAACTAACTGTACCGTGGTAATTCGTAGAGGAAGCTGATTAAAAATGAATAATTCAAACCTTTACTAATTATGAAATACTATTAATAATGATAATGATAATAACAAAAACAAAAAAATTTGTCTAGTAAGTTTTAATCACTTTTTCAAATAAACGCAGTTGAGATATGTGATTTTAATTGTTAATACTATTGTGCTGTCTGCTACTTCTGTTGACGCCCCCAAATGCCTTGGTACGGCGGAGAGTGGGTAGAGTCCGCTCTCCCTCTCGAACTGCTCTCACAAGACCACGAGTATTAGCCTCTGCCAGGGAAGTCCTACTCATTGCCTTCTCGTAGCGGGGGTGTTGTTTACGAAGTTGAGAGGACGAAAAGCGAATGTCTGGCGCTTTAACCGGGTTGATGAACATGGAGAGTCCACCTGAGGGAGTTGGAAAACCCTGATTCCAAACCAATGGTGCACATGGGCTCCAGTATCCTGAAGGAACAAATGGCGAATGAACCAATCGTTGGTTACCGGCTACCATGGGACTGCATCTCCTAACGTTGCTCTACTGCCTTGTGGATCAGACTTTTAGATCGAAGGTTCCGGGTGTGGCCCCCTAAGATAACCACCTGCTTTGGTTTGGGCACCCGAGCAGTATCACAGCCCTCACACAAATCGAATGAGATTTGTGTGGCGCATATGTATTTGGTGCCTCCTTGTACCAATATCTATGTGTTAAAATAAAATATAAAATAAATACTTCTGTTGACGGATATAAGTAGTATGTAATACCACTCAGAAGTGGAATGCATGTCTGCAGAAGATTGATAAGATCAAATAGAATAGAACAAGAATGTAAACGGTTAGTAATTATAACAACAGAATTGAAAGAAATATCAAGCATGTAAGGGACAACAGAAGGAATATGTACAAATGATGTATTTAATGTACAGTTTTTATATTTTACGAAAGTATTCTATAATTTTGCTTTAAACAATAATTTAGTCTTTTCCAACTGAGTTCTCGTTCACTACATTGAGAATTACAGTTATCTGAAATACTACTTTGCTATGTAAATAGATACTAGCAGTTGAGATTATTATACGGTACGCTTAGTCAGTGTAATGAAATAGAGGACTTCCATTAAAATGTTTTTATTGTAAATCTGACAGTTACTGATGAAATTAGGCATAAATCGCTGTTTACATCGTTTATTTAAGTTATTCATTACAAGTATGCTTTAGAATCATACTATAAATATAGAGTTTGTAACACTCCGTGTTCCTAATTAGACAATCACTAAAAACCAGTAAATACTGGATAGATATAAGGAGCTCTTTAACAGTACACATTCATGACCCTACAATAAACCTTTGAGTTTCACTGCAAACACTTAAACATTAAACGAATAAGCCGTCAATCAACTAGTGTATATTTATAAATAGTATAAATGTTAGGTTCTATTCTATTTATCACACAGTTTTATTCTTATGGGCATTTCTAATGTACGGAGCTGAAACATGGAGAACTACAACAACCATCATCAAGAAGGTACAAGTATTTATAAATAGCTGTCTACGCAAGATATTCAACATCCATTGGCCGGATACCATCAGCAACAGCCTTCTGTGGGAGAGAACAAACCAGCTTCCAGCTGAAGAGGAAATTAGTAAAGGACGATGGAAATGGATAGGACATATATTACGCAAATCGTCAAACTGCATCACGAGGCAAGCCCTAACTTGGAATCGTGAAAGGAAGGCCAAAGAACACATTACGTCGTGAAATAGAAGCAGATATGAAAAGGATGAATAACAACTGGAAGGAGCTGGAAAGGATTGCCCAGGACAGGGTTGGATGGAGAATGCTGGTGAGCGGCCTATGCTCCTTCACAAGGAGTAACAGGCATAAGTAAGTAAGTTTATTCTTATGGGTAAATGAGATTATGAACTCAAATATAGTTAGTTGAAAATTTACGAAATTTTCAGTCAAGTAAAAATGATCTTTCAAATGAACATTCTCGTACTTATATCGGTTTAGAAATGTTGTTTATTAGATGAAATTTTATAGATGTTGCTAACTCTACGAAGGCCTTATGTATGATTAGTGTCCAAATATAACTTCTTGACCATTAGACTGGGTACTTATTAATAACACCTAACGAAAGCTTTCTCATTTTTTGTCAGTAATAGGTCTTGGTGTAGTAGCTAAATAATTTCATGTTATTTGTGAAATCTCGATATCTTAATCATGTTTAATCATTTTAGGTGTAAGGGAACATTGATATCATCCATATCTAGAGCGAGATAGTTGCTCATCATTGACATTAAAGTACAGTTACTTGAAGTTAGAAATATAGACCAATGGATACCAACCAGGTAGTCTAATAATTAAGGACTCACTTCAAAACTTATGGGTCCTAGGTTCGTTCTCTTATAGAGTCATGGATGTACACTGCTTAATAGTCCTATACTACTGTAGTGAACAGAACACGGGTGGGGACAATCGAATTATATTTACCACAAAATTACAGAGTTACTTGGTAAAATTAAAAAAACCCATACTATAATACTTAATTTGCAAAATGTTCAGTAATTGTCTCGAACTTCATTGTTCTTGAATTTTCATACTAATTGCTGTCCATTCCCGCTCTTCCTTTCTTGATCTTCCCCATCTTCTGCTGCCAAACATTACATTCCTGACTCACATCAAATACTACTTATATCAATGCAAGTAGCACGCACCACACTATGACAGATCAAATTTCCATGTCACCCGAGTTTTCATTAGTTGTTTATTTAAAATCAAGTCAGTGATCTGAACTACAACATTCAATAATCTTCATAAACCCCTTATATAATAATGTTACAAAACTACCCCGAAAATTAGTAACCATTTACAAGTAAGTGAATAGTTTCCATATATATAGGAAGACAACAAATCAACGGAATTTAGGACCTCCGAAAGGAGTAAAATATCAAAACTCCTCCTTTTAAAAAAGATTAAATTCTATATATAAACAAAAAAGTAAAATTTCACAATTATTTACTGTAATATGTTTCTTTTTAAGTAGTATATGAATACAGATATGAATTTCTCAAGGCACCTATTCAATAATTTTCATTTTGAATATATAACTGTGCCAAATTATTGTCATCGTTTATTGCTTCCCCATGAACAAATATAATAATGATGATTACCTAGATAGTGTAGACAAGTATACACTCATCAACATAACATTTCTCAAAATGAATTCACTCATTTCAAATTAATGTAAAACTCATATTATACACATGAATTAAACATATCTTGTATAGTTGTTAAAGAATTTGTTGAATAATCTAAATGATGCATATATTCATTATGTTGATCATTTTTTTCATTCATATCATTAAACAATGGACAATGATTATTTGTACAATATAATAAATCACTACTACTTATAATTGAATGAGTAGTATGAATTGGATCTGTATTACATGTCGTTATCATAGAACAATCATTTGATGAATGGGGTATAATTTCATGAATAGGTGGTGTTGGACTATTTCTTAAATTGATTAATTGACATTGTGTACATATTTCTGATTCATAATTACTCATATAATCACAGCATGAAACATTGGATGTTTCTTTTAAATAATGATCATGATTATGAATAGTTCTTCTTTCTTGATTGACATGATCAATAGTAGAATCATCATTATTGTTCCCGGTAGTAGTTTGATTTCCTGTATGAAATAATAATCCTAAATCTGTACATTTTGATGAATTAGGTAGCTTATTCATAGTTGGTAATGTACAATGACATTGTTTCTCTTTTGAAAACATGGTGTAATCATCATTTCTATTATTTCTTAATAATGAATTTATATTACAATTTGATTGTATTGACAACTTTCTTGTACATGGTGGTGTTAAAAATCGATGTGAGAATGGTGGCAGAGGAGGAGGAGGAGGATGAGGAGGCAATTGATTTTGTTTATAAAGAAAATTTCTTTTATTATATATAGATAATTGTGGATTTATAGGTTGACTAGTTGGTGAATTATGTTTTGTATCATTTAAATGTAGATCATCTATTGTGACACCAGTAGTATAAGCTAAAATATTTGGATGTGATTTAAATTGATAAAGATGTTGGCGATCACAGATTTCATAGTTACCAGATGATGATTTTAGTATAGAACTATTCATATGGTGTTCATTATTATTATTACTATCTAGTGTCTTTTTTAAAGGATAATTGTCAAAACATGGCATAGATGGTATAAAACTGACATTTTTTGGTATTCGTTTGATAGGACTGGATTTTTCATGAAGATCTACACATAGAAGGAAGAGAATTTTTTTAATTTTACAAATTGTTAGCGGGACATAGACTGGATTAAAACAAGCTCAATGCACGATCGCTTCGGTGCACGCTGATTGGCTAATTCTTATCCGATCAGCATTAGTCAATACTTAGTGAACACTAGAATCTTCTCATGTGAAAACTATAAATATACTAACGTGCTTCATACTTCCATCTAACTTTGTTATTTGGAATATAATCTCTTTTCTGTTCAACCGTGTTCTGATTTGGGGACTTGTCGAGTGAATCGGTGTTCGAGAATAATAAGCAATAGGAATAGATGGGTCATAACCGTAAGAAAGAGATTATAACACAAATGAAACGTTTAACATTGATTAGTGATATAACATTGATTGTCTATGCATAAATTCAGCATACTGATATCCTAATTCAGTGACTTATTGGCCTGCTTAAAGTTCGTCATTTCTAAAGTTGGGAGTCAGTATCGTAGAAAACGCAACTGACATATCCTCCATACTCAATATTTTACACTTATTACTCAAGAATTACTTATCAGGTATATCAAAAAATTTTACTTCTAAAAAACTGCCAGATTTCCGAGGTAATTTATGGAAAGTGTGTATATTGTGAGTTTAAGCCCGGCTAGTTATCACGTGATTTATTCGCCAGCCGAAATACGACTTACTCAATCTTAGTACTGTGCTAAACCAATGACATTCGACCGGTATGAGCAACCTAGCGTCCTTATTGGTCCTTTATTCTCCTAGCAGTCTCAGTTGAGTTCAAAACACCAAAAGCAGCTTCCACTATACGAATCATTTGTCTCAAACATACTTGGTTTATATACCAGCCAAACAGACCGCATCACACCATAAAATAGGAAATAACATATAACCAAGATCAAGCCTAAAAGTGACTGTGAACATGGGAGACTGTAATCAATAAACTGAACATAAGTTATAAACAGTAAATCGGATAATAATAATAGTCTATAGGTCAAAATAAAGCTTATGATAAGAGGAATATAGATATACATGATATAGTTACTGAACAGCTATACAATGGATATATATATATATATATATATATATATATATATATATATATATATATATATATATATATATATATATATAGAATATTGGTCCATTATTATTTCTCGGAATTTACTCGTAATTTAATCTTCACTAGGATATAACAGTATAGTTTACTGATAAATCCGGTCTTGAACTATAAATCAATTAGTTGGTAAATGTACATTTTGTTCATAATTTGCACCACTGATATGTATAAGTTACTATTTTCTTACATCCATATTTTGTGACAGCTGACAAGTGAATGCTTAATACATCGTAGGCTTGTGTTCATGAATATATGACAGTTTGTCATATATATATATATATATATATATATATATATATATATATATATATATATATATATATATTAGTCACTCTAGTCAGGTTTAAATCGGAACTCGCCGATTAATGTATTTTTAAGTACTTCATGAATTTTCTCCTTGTTTCATCGTTTATTCAGTTTATAGTTGAAATCATGAGTTAATTGAAGCTAGACCATCATGGAAAACGTGAAAGCACTGGACGGACCTTTCGTCCTAGTATGGGACTCCTCAGCAATGTGTATTCACGATCCCGACCCCCACGACATTCGAACCCACGACCTATCAGTCCTATTACTCTCATACTAGAACGAAACGGCCGTCCAGTGCTTCCAGGTTTTCCATGGTGATCTAGTTTCAATCGACTCATGATTTCAACCATTGAAATTTCTAAAAATCTCCACAAAACCCCTTCTGATAATATTCAGTTTATGTTTTGTACTTCCCAGTCCTCAAAAATGATTGACATACATAGATTTTACACTCAAGTTGTTACATATATTATTGAATACCATATATTTGATGAGACTAATTAAATTGTTTACATCTAAACAACTAATAATTCAGTTCATACAATCAAACAAATTTATACCTAAAAGTAACACCATAGATGTTAGCTTAACGTTCTAATCATCTTGATGTATTCAAGTTACAATAACTGAACACTTGTTTCTGTAAAATGTATTATATTAGGCAGATGAGGTTGGTGAAAGGTAAAAGTTAAAATAACGATTTACGATTTGAGCGCCAAATCCTACTTACGATTTCATAAAGATATGATGGCGGTAAAGTATTTGCCACGGATAACTAGCACTTGAAACAACGATGCTTTCACACAATCAAAGGAAGGAGTTAGAAAATGTCAACATTCAAAACTGTAAGCCTCTATTTGGTTTAAAAGTTTTCATCACCTGCGGTGATGTTCTTAAAATATAGGACCAATATATCCATAACTACTCATAAAAAAACGTTTGTGATTAATCTCAAGATGAGGTCTGAGATGACGCTCTCAGTCTGCTATGGTCACTGGTAGTCCCGTTTTGTTACGAGTACCTTAAGTAAGAGGGTCCTCCGACAATAATGACTATGGGAAGCGATAACTACCAACATACCATTAAAACCAATCAATTATGTTTAATATAAAATTTCACCACAAAACCGTTCGGCTACAAATTAACATGTTTGTACATATATACACATGCAAATAAATTCATAGGAATGAAAAATTGTAAACTATACGAATAGGGAAATCTCACTTTGTGTCCTGTGTGCAATCTGAGAAGTATTATTATTATTGTCATTGTTATTATTAATATTCAATAGGGATCTGGATGATGGCCTACCTAGAGGAGGTTTTTCATAACCACATTTATTTATCTGTAAAAGAAAAAGAAAAGAGAGACAAGTTGTTCTATAAATATGCAAACCAATGAAATGAATAAATACTTTTGATATTGTTTACTTGAATCTTCCCATTGTTGTTTAGGACTGCAATTGATCAGTCTCTTATTAGCATATATGCATACTGTACGTAATGTCTCGATATAGCCTTAATTCACAAGCATTATATACAAAGATGGATAGTGGTAGGTACATCCAACTGACTAGTCCCAAATAGGACGAAACGCGAATTCTGGATTCCACAGCTAGCTAATATCCATCTTTGCATATAATGAAATAAATTGTTTAAAATGATTAAATAATATCCAAGTCAATATGAACGAAATATTATCTTTCCAATAATTTCTCATCAGTTTCTATGGTTACAAATCTAAATAAACGATCCGAAAGTAATGACCAGATTGAAATCAAATAAATGATTTTAGCATCATTTCATATGAATTCAGGATTGCTTGTAAAATAATTGTTTTTAACTGAAATTCCGGAAGCAGTTTTATTGTGAGACTCCTCCACAGGAGGTATCCACGATCTCGCACGCGGGGCCAGAACCCAGGACTTTCTGTCTTGCACAAACACTTAACCTGTCAATCACTGAGCCGGGAAAATATTGTGCAAATACTGTAATTAACCTTACTATTTAAAACTTCAATATTTGAGATCATGATTCAATTAAAGCTAGATTACCATGAAAAAACTAGAATCATTGAACGGCCCTTTCATCCTATTATAGGACTCCGCAGCATGGTGCATTCATGATCCCTCATAAGAGGCTCGAACCCAGGACCTATTGGTATCGCGCGCGAACGCTTAACCTTTAGACCGCTGAGCCGGCATCCAATGGTGTTAATGTCTAACTTCAACTAATCCACGAAATTGAGCGACACATCCACCATTGTCACCAGTTAGTTACTATCTCACAACAGATATTTAAAACTTGTTTAAAATTTTAAATGTTGGCTGTATATGTGATCACACACTATCATAAGAAAATTACAAACTATTAGAATATTAGATACTGGTAGACTCAAACAGAAACACTGAAGTTATCCTTTGATAAAACAAGTGATGAATATATTCAAGCTAAAGCATTTTATATATGATCGACAGAAAAATAGTTGAATTGGCTGAAATTGTGAGAAAAAAACTTTACAAGCAGAAGATACTGACTGTTAAAAACATTTGCTGAACGTATTTTCAATAATTACAAATTGTGTACATTTGTAATGGGTATTTATTGTTATATTGCATCATTGGTGCTGAAAATTCCATACTTGTACGGAATAATGCCATTATTATTGTTATTATTACTATTATTATGTTGATGACGATGTATTAGATGGTGGTTGGAGGTAGTTGACAGGAAACCCTGGACCCGAGTTTCGTGCTAATTGGCACTCGTCAGCAAGGTATACCTGTAATCTTGAAGGAGCTGGTACTCCCTGACGGATTCGATACCGTGTCACCCAGCTTCACTAGTAAGGACTTGACATACATGACATTGATCACCACACAGTGATCGATCAATTGTGATTACATATCAGTCCTACAGGAGGTCGGTCGCGGCTCGGATAGCTCAGTTGTAACGTCTCTGATTGTGAAGCTGAGTGACACGGGAGCGAATCCGTCAGGGAGCACCAGTTCTCTCAAGATTACAAGAAAACCTTGCTGTCGAGTGCCAAGTAGCACGAAACTCGAGTCCAGAATATCCTGTCGACTACCTCCAACCACCATCTAATCACAATATATAGTGCATGCAGTGTCGAGTCACCTAGACTGGTGGCCACATTGCAACATGGTTGATAGCATTCGATCTGCTCTAAATAAGGACTTGACACACATGGCATTGATCACCACCCAGTGGTCAATGAATTGTGATGACAATGTATTTCACGAAAGACTAGTATTTTATTAATTGAGAAATATGAGATATAAGAATTGTAATAAGGATAATGTTTCTGTTCATTCAATATTATCTTATGATGAAAATTGGATTCATATTGTGAATAATATTCATGAATCCCTTAAATAGACAATCACCACAAACAACCCGGTAAAAATAACATTTACGTACTACAAATTAGACATATAATTAAGTAAGTACAGAAGACTAGACATTTTTTGAGTGACATTTCTGATCTTGTTCACGATGTTTAATACAGATGTAGGTCAGTTGATTGGAGTTAGTCAACAGACAACACTATATTAGTCTTGACTGAGTGAAAGTTAGCACTCTTTAATTAGGCTTACCTACAATCTTGAAGAAAACGAACACTTTTGTGCTAACTAAATCTGGCCCATGGCATAAATAACTCAATGGTAATGTCACATACAATAAAACCTAGATGACGTAGATTTTAATCCCAAATTAGGCATTAGTTTCATCAAGATTTCAGATTAGCTTTGCTTGTAACTGTAAACTAATATGAAACCTTGACCTAGAATTTCGCATTGACCATTTCCAACATAGTATACCTGATATCTATTCACTTAGACTAATGTTTATATTGCTACTTGGTCGGAATTCGATCATTCATAGAAAACTAGGCAAACACGACATTGGTTATTAATCACTGACTAATCAATTGTAAGACTTAAGAATGTACGAATACAATTTCTTTGTAAATGCTAACAATAATCAATATATATATTCTTTCTAAGATTGAATAGGACGACAATTATGTAACCATTGAGTAAATGGTAACTTACTTTATATACCAGTTCTAGATAGGATTTTCAATTGAAATATAGAATATGACTTTTTATACAATAATTTATAGCAGTTTCTCATGAAACTGTTAATGAAGTCTGATTACTTTTGTTTCTTTTTGCTAAACTAAACGGCCCATGGTTATATTGACAAGATAATGAATGATTCATTAAATTGAATAATACTCGTTTATAGATTGTTTTTTTCTTAGAGAGCATCCTATTTTATACCTCATAATAATAATGATTATTATTATTATTGTTGTTAGTCTGAAAGTTAAGTTGACTAATATGGAGATAGCATGCTAAAATCATTGATCCCTTAGTTACAATAATAATATCGAATGTTTTCCTTTTTCTTTTATTTTAAAGAGAAATACATTACGAATTTCTCCCTAAAAACGGTTTTATCTTCAAGTTTATTCTGATATAATATTTCAATTTGTATCAGCATAGGTTTGTGGAGATTATTATGTTATTGATTGAGATCATGAACCGATTGATATTAGACCACTAGTGAAAACCTGTGATCACTGGACGGCCATTTAATCATATTATAGGACTCTTCAACAGTGCGCATCCACGATCCCGCTCATGAGATTTGGACCCAGGACCTTCAGTCACGCAAGCAAACGCTTAACCTCTAGACCACTGAACCGGCATTCAACGGTTTTCAATGGTTGGCTAACATCAATCTGTTCATGATCTCAATCAACAACATAATAATCTCCAAAATCCTATACTGATAATTACCATGTGCTCACTAGTGACTAGCTTCGTGAGGGAATTCCCGGAGTTCTAGTGGGAAGCCTTGACCATTGGAGTTAATCCGTGTCGGTTAGAGACAGGTATCTACCTCAGTAGAATGTAAGATGGTCGCGCAATTTCGTGGATTGGTTGAAGTTGGATCCCAACTGGTTCAGTGGTCTAAAGGTTAAGTGTTCTCTCGCGTGACTGGAGGCCCTGGGTCCGAATCCCGCGAGCAGGATCGTGGATGCGCACTGTTGAGGAGTCCCATAATAGGACGAAATGGCCTTCCAGTGATTGGAGGTTTTCAATAGTGGTCTAACATCAATCGGTTTATGATCTCAATTTCAATTTGTAGTTTTTTTTTTTGGAAATCGCATTTCTATGATGAGAAAAATGAGATTTCTTCATATAGTCATTTTATTTATCTCGTTTTTTCATGATTACTAGTAAATCAATATAATAATCTCGAGGAGCGGAATCGTGAATGCGCATTGCTGAAGAATCTCACACTAAGACGAAACGACCGTACAGTACTTTCAGGTTTTACATGGTCTTCTAGCTTCAATCGACCGATGAATTCAAGTATTAAATTACTATAGTATCCATAAAACCCTTTACTGATATTTTATATGTGTTCATAGTCGGTATGAAATCTCGTAATGAATTCAAATAGGGCTCTTCGTCTTTGTCAGCTTAGAGATATTCTTTTTTTGTTAGGCTAATATCTTGAACCATAGAACTGATCTAAATGTACGTTCAAGTTCAGTTATCATTATGTTAGGCTTAGATTGTTTTTATGAATGTATTCAGTAAGTAATGAAAACAAATTCAGGTTCAAGTCAATCTGGGTCTTAAAAAATTCACTATTCGTTTCTTAACCAAACTACATCATGGGGCAAGCGCTTATTTGGAATACTGAAGGGAAATGGGAAAGTGAAAGACCGGAAAACATACTACTTCAGGAAGAAGATATGAAAAAAATGAATAGTAACTGGAAACAAGTGGAAAGGATTGCCCAGAACAGAGTTGAATGGTGAGTGCTTAGGCTCCTCCACGAGGAGTAACAGAAGTATGTAGTAAGTAAATACTTGAGTTAGTATTTTCCAGATGATTAATCCTTGAGAATTTCTTAAGATAAGTAATAACATATAATATTTATAGAATAAGTGTTAAGATAGTCTACAAGGCATTAATGATGAGATATACTGAGTATAGGAATCTTCCTAATTTCATGAAAATTCGTGATAGCTTTAACTGAATTTAATGTCGTTATTTTTCCAAAAATAAACAACAAGAATTTGAAACTACAAATTACGTACTGGTATGAACCATTCCATCAAATGATCATCTAATTTTAGTAATATTTACATTCTCCATAATCTATAATCACACTTTGTTATGATTTCTATTATTACGACCCAGCTATTGTTATTTCTTAGTAATCTTGGGTACCATTTCATTCTATAAGTTCCCAAACAAGAACGCAATCTAACAAAAACGTAATTATATTCCAAATAATAAGGTAGGAATCACAATAAGAGAAACGTTAGTATCACAATTGATTGATCACCGGGTGGTGATCAATGCCATGTGTGTATAGTCCTTATTTAAGGCAAATCGAATGCTATCAACCATGTTGCAATGATGGCCACCAGTCTAGGTGACTCGACACTGCGTGCACTATTTATTGAGATTAGATGGTGGTTGGAGGTAGTCAACAGAAAACCCTGGATCTAGGTTTCGTGCTTCATGGCACTCGTTAGTAAGGTGTACCTGTAATCTTGAGAGAACTGGTGCTCCCTGACAGATTCGCTCCCGTGTCACCCAGCTTCACAGTCAGAGACGTTACCACTGAGCTATCCGAACCGCGACCGACCTCCTGTAGGACTGATATGTAATCAAAATTGACTGATCACTGTGTGGTGATGAGTATCATGTATGTCAAGTCCTTATTAGTGCCGATCGAATGCTATCGATCATGTTAGTATATTTATAGTTTTTATATAACAATATACTAGAGTCTTCTTTAAGTATTCGTTAGCTCTAGCTGGATAAGAAATACGGAATTCTTGAAATTCAAACTCATCAACTAGAATATTTCCCGCTTTTTATAAGTGTCAACATAATTTATTGATTGTTAATGTCAAAAATAAATATCGAGATAAATATTATCAGGCGAGACTATAATTTCTGGACGAACCAATCACGTATAAGATAACAGGTCTCGGATTTTGGAGCGAAATTCACTCATCCATTTGGGTAAATAGAGTTTTGGCATCATAACTGATGTCAGTTCGTGATGAATACTAAATGTAATTCCTAACCCTAACCATCAACTGTAAATCATAATTATAATTCCTCACACTGGTTTATAACCGTCATATGGTCGTAGTTATTAGTTGGACACTCTCAAGATCACTTGAGCTTCGCTCAAATGTCGTCCATAAATTATAGTCTCACCTATTATGACGAATCTTGAGAGAATGATTAATTTAATTACTTCAAGGGGTTTGTGGAGATGATTAAATTTTAATGTTTATATCACTAACTGACTTTCATTAGTGATACAGATACAATAACACTGAAAAATAATGGCTTAGTATAAGGAGTTGATTAAATTGATATATGTAAATCATTAAATACCTACTCTATGGTTTCATTGTTAAGCATTTGTTGCTATATCTGAAGATTCCAAGTTTAATACTTCTTTGGACTATGTTTAGGTACTACTGAATAGTTTCATATTAGGAGAGAACAGCTATGCAATTCTTTTTGGTTTCTAATAACCGTTTAGAAAAGATCATTCTATGATGAAGACGCTCAAGTTTATCAGTTAAATTCAAGTTATACATGAGGGAATATTCTTAAGTTTTCAATTTCACAAGTAAAATGATCCAGCTGATTTATGAAATACTATCATGATAAAAGTGTTCATATGTATAATTCCTTCGCATAATCCAATCATTCATTTCCGAATTGGACAGGTTTGATTTGAAATAAACAACCGAATATACAATTAAATGAACGGATTTTTCACTGTCACATATAAATAGAACAATACTACAACCAAGTTAATCTGACGTGTCAAATAAAGAGACCAGTCACAAAGAAATGAGATTAAATGTCACAAATTAATCAATGATCTATCGTTATTTCCATCGACATATTCAGTCTTACAAGACTACATGCGGTAATTTAATTAATAATCATTTATTAGAATAGCGGGAGGTTGTGGAGATTGTAGTGATTTGAATAGTTAAACTCATGAGATGATCTAAGCTAGATCACCATACGAAACATGGAAACCTTGAACGAAAGTTTCGTCCTAGTATGGGACTCTTCAGCTTCCGGGATTTTAATATTGCTCAAGCTTGCATCGACTCATGAATTCAACTATTGAAGTGTTGGGATATTCAGAAAAATATCCCAAAAATTATCCTGTTAAGTCTAATGCTATCCTTGGACTTGAAAGGGCATCATTTTCCTATTGGTCAATTTTTATTTCACGTGTCATTTTCCTGTTGGCCAAATATTGTACAAATGTTATTTTCTATTTTATTGTACGTTGTGGTCTGCTTGATTGGTATATAAACAGAGTATGTTTGAAATACATTATTCATATCACAGAGGCTGAGACTTGCGTTCTGGGCTTATCTGGCTGGGCTAGGCGGAAAGCAGGGCCAATCAGAACTCTAGGCTGCTCATACGGTTTTACGCATCATTGGTCAGGTCGATAAGTCACTGTCATCTAATCGGCGGTCACAAGTTATAACATAAAGTTACTACACTTTCCGAAACCCCCATTCTAATAATAATCAACATATGCTCACTAGTGGCTAGATTCAAGATGGATTTCCTGGGGTTCTAGTGAGAAGCCGTGACCAGTGGAGTCCAATCCGTGTCGGGTAGAGACAGGTATCTACCTCAGACAATCGATGAATGGTTACGCAAGATCATGGGTCGATTGAAGCTGAGCATTAACACCGTTGGATGTCGGCTCAGTGGTCCAAAGGTCAAGTGTTCACGTGCGAAACCGAAGGTTCTGGGTTCGAGCCCTTTGTTTCACGATTGTGGATGCGTACTTTCCAGGAGTCTGATAGTGGGACGAAATTACCGTCTAGTTCTTCCATGTTCTCAATGGTTATCTGGCTTACATCGACTCATGAATTAAACACTATTGACTGATATACAGTGATCTTGTTTCATTTCACGTAAATTAGAAATAATTCTAGATCAGCTATATTAGACGGATGCAAATATTGATCATGTCTACATTCAAATTGTACTTGATTAAAATCCATGTTATATTTGGGCAGCAAAGATGAATTATAGTTATTTGTAAGTGTAGAGTCAAACAGAACAAGATAAAATGATATACAGCTGAATAATAATAATAATGTTTTAACAAATTTCCCTCTTATAGAAGAACCTTTTTTACTTGGAATAAAACGGAAAAAATGTCGTCTGAAAGGATCACCCCATTCCAAGTTAGATTATGGGAAATGAAGAAAAAAGCTTGTATCATATGATAATCATGAATTACACATCAGTAGATTTATATTGCCTACATGATAGCGCACATAAAAACATACCTCGAATGACATTTTAATCGGTGTAAACTAAAAATACACATGATGTATATATAGTGGAATAATACAATTACAGTTGACTTTCGAAACATTTTCCATATTAAATTTATTATAAGGTTATATCTAATGGAACAGAGTTAGACTATTTCAAGACACTAATCGATACCATCAGATAGTGTATATCGTCTTCTTATTAAGAGTTACATCATCACTATGCTAAATAAAACCCCAGAAGTCATTTTTTTCAAAATATCTGTTAGTGATGTAGTGATCTGGAACAACCAAATCTCTTAGTAAGATCTAAGAAGCAAACGGTAAATACTTCGTTTGCAAAATGTCAATCAATTGTCACAAATTTGACTGTTCCTTCATTTCCTTACCAGTTACTCTCCGTTCTCATTCTCTTTTTGATCTACGTGACTTTCTGCCGTCAAACATTCCACTTCCGATTAGTGATACATACTACTTATATCTGTCGACATCAGTAACACACACCACAGTGGTAGTAATGAGCTCTCTGAGCTGGATGCTTTGATTGCAGATCTTTAAGCATCATTCTGCAAAAATCGATTAGCCACTACTTCAGATAAAAGTAATCTTCCCGATTATTCAACCAATATCAAATAAATTCTGTATGATGACCTTCTTTTCATTTCATGTCATATTATCTTTATTTATCCTCTTGTTGCCGTTGATTATTTTGCTTAGTTAACCTTTGATCATGTGATTAATTGGTTTTTTTCTTTAAGGACTGATGAACTGACTCGATATCGACGTGTCTGTTAATCGCAGATTGATAGAAGACGTTCGATTGTCTAAACTTCTGTATGATACCATGTAAGCAATATAATGAGTTAAATATTTTCAGTATTGTATTTAAAGACTGTTTTTATAGACAAGATACCAAAAGTCATCACTAAAATAATTGAGTTGTAAACTGTAAATCAATTAGTTCAATGTGTACATTAGTGATTACATTCAGCCAGGTTACTTAATAAAGTAATATGGAGTTTTGTTAAATCTGGGTCAGTAATATTAAGCTTTACGACACTGCATGACAATATTCAAATATTACGTAAGAGCGTGATTGTCATTATCTATGATGAAAATAAATTAATATGCATTATCATAAGTAATTTCCTAAGTATTTGTTCGGCTAACGTACTTCGGAATTGATGCCTACAGTTTGAATGTAAACACATATATACCCGGAAGAATAAACGGTAATAACTAAACGGTAAGCTTATTAAGAAGAAGTGACTACTAATAATCAGTAACTTTAAAGGTTCTGTATTGAAGTCTGTTATATGTATACGTAACTTCTGAAGAAACCCCAATCACTTACCATCTGAAAACAGTTCACATGATTTCAAGTCACTTAAGCTAGTGACCATATCGCAACTTGTTTAACCGATTAAAATAGACCAGCACTAAAAGGGACTTTTGTAGACATGATATTGGTTAGTACTGAGTGATCGTTTATAGTAGATATCTTAGTCTTACAGGATGTTAAGCGTGGGCAGAATAACGCCTTAGACTATGAGTTTGGACGATGAGAGTTGAAATCCTACAACAAGCATCACTTCCCTAAAGATTACAGATACACCTTGCACTGACAAGCATGAAATCTTGACTTGCTATTATTTGTCATCTAGCTTCTATCAATTAACATCAGTTGGTTTAAATATATAGAATGAGTTACTCTACATCTCCATTTGTTTCAATTACTTATTCAATAGATGTAGTACAATCATACATAAATAAACAAACTGTCACAATGGTACATTTTGAAGATCTATTTATGAATTCTACATTATAATTGAACATACCCGTTGATAATCTTGTGTAATATTATATTTATCATTGTCTTCAAATATTTGCTGACTTTCATTCAATCTTCTTTGATTATTATCACAATGTGATTGAATATTTAATTTTACTGGGATTGGCGGTATTCGATCATTTCGTTGTTGTTGTTGTTGTTGTCGTTGTATGAATGTTTTTAATGTGGGTAATTCTGTTTCTGCACAATTCGATATAAAACAACCTGGTGTTATCATACAATTATTTCTATGATCAACAATTAAATTAGAATTATACTTTGATTGATCTCCAATACAATTTTGTCGACATTCTATACCAATTGGTGATGATGACGATGATGAAGTTTGTAATTGTTTTCTCTTTTGTTGTAATGGTGATAATGATGGAGTAGATAATAGTGAAGATGATTGACCTAAACAATGTGTAGCCAAAAAGCTAGACAGATGAGCACCTGAATAAAATGTATAATGTTTATTATCATTATTATTATTATTATTACTATTATCTTTTAATCGTGGAATATTTACACTGTTTGAATCATGAGCACAATGATGTAATCCAATAGAAGTATGAGTTGTATATGGATTATATAAATGTGAATGAATTTGAACATTACCTGAAAAGATACGAGAAGAAAAAGAACTCAATTAAGGGATCAAGTTATCAATCATTTTGCTGATCTGTAAACTGAATGAATAAAAATATTTACAGAGAGATTGTAATGAACAATCATTGACTTTATAACAGAAATACTCAAATACTGTATTTTGGTAAAAATGTCTATCTGAAAGAATTCCATACAGGAAGAAAACATACTAATGTCGTGAATGAGAACATTGCCTGAGACAATCGTATGTATTTCAATGCAAAATTATAGAACATCTTAATAAATTCTGAGAACCGTACAGTAAATACTTCATTTGCAAAATGTTAATCAATCGTCTCAAACTTATTTGTTTCTTCATTTCCACATCAATCACTCTCTGTTCTCATTCTCTTCTCTTCGATCTTCTTGACCTTCTGCCATCATATATTCCACTTTCTATTGATGATGCATACTACTTATATCTGTCGACATCAGTAGCACACACCACACTAACACAAAAAAATCAAACAGAATCTATTCAAGAATCTCAACAATTGGATGATTTCAACCCTTTCTAATACATGAATCATATTCGTTTCACAAGTTAATCGCCATCTAGCCTCATTAGCATAGTAGACAATGTGTTGACAGTTTTGAGACAAAAGCCACTACATTTTAGTCTTTGAGTAGACATTAACAATGGAATTTATGTACATCTATCTGGTGAGTCCCAAGTCGAAGGAAATCTATGTCCCAAATTCCAGTGTTATCTAAAATCCATCTAATCTCTGTACCAGCAGATTTGTTGTTTGTTAATTTCGTAAAACAGAAAATAATTCCAGCTCGGATGTAAACAATGCTGCGAAAGCAGAGATTTCAACACACAACAAGTATGATAATATCTGTACTATTCAAATTTGTTGTTGGGAATTAATGACATAGAAGTAGGGAAGATTGATCTAAAATGTAAAGCACTTCCATTACCCGGGAAAATGATGTGGGTAACTTGATGGAATCATTAATCAGCATTATTCTTCTTCCGATTAGATTTTAAAGTCTAAACCATTTATCATAACAAGCAGATTAAATGTTTCATGTTTTGTATTCAAACTAAATAACCGATATTTAATTCCATTTAACAGATAATTTTTTCAAAGTTTTCACGAAAAACTAATTTTAGCTAGGTCTCTGCTGAAAACCAGAAAACAGTAAATATCTGTTTTGTCCTAGTATAGGACTCCTCAGAAGTGTGCATCCACGACTTCACCGCAAAGGGTCAAACTTAGGACATTCAGTCTCTGAAGTAAATGCTTAATTTCTAAATCAATAAGCTGACACCAAACTATGTACACATTTAAATTTAACCAACCACGATATTGTACGACCAACCATGAGACAGTTATCCACTTCAGGTAATGGAAGATGAACACACAGTATCATAAATTGGTTGAAGTTAAATGTGTATATGGTTTGATGTCAGGTCAGTGGTTTGGAGGTTAAGTATTTTCGTCACAGACTGAATGTTCTAAGTTTGACCCTTTATGATGGGGTCATGGATGCATACTTCTGAGGAGTCCCATACTAGGACAAAACAAATATTGAGTGCTTCCCGATTTTCAGTGGAAGCCTGACTAAAATTAGTTCTCAGTGTAAACTAAGAACATTTCTACAATTTCTATAAATTACCATAAAATTTTGTCGAACTGGTTGAGTAAACAAAATATGAAGCTTCTTATGTAGAAAATTCATTTTCTTGGATACATTTCTTTAGAGTTGGAAGGAAAAATAAGTAAGTTAATGAAAGAAAATAAATGTAAACCATAAGAGCTGACTTATTTTCAGATGTGTATTACAATGAATTGTTTTCTATTAAATTTGTTTCTATTAAAATTTCGGCAGGAGTTTTAATGCTTATCACTAAGTAGACAACGTACTTAGAATTGACTGATCACTAAATAATGACCATTTTTCAAGAGTTGAGATCATGAGCCAATTGAAGCTAGACCACCATAGATGCCGGCTCAGTGGTCTAGTTGATTTAGCGCCTGAAGCGAGACCGATAGGTCCTGAGTTCGAATCCCGCGAGGCAGGGTCGTAGACGTGCACTGCTGAGGAGTCCTGCAATAGGACAAAACAGCCATCCAGTGCTTTTAGGTTTTCCATGGTGGTCTAGCTTCAATTGACTCATGATCTCAACTCTTGAAATTACTACAATCTTCACAAAAACCTCTTCTGATACTAATGACCATTTCCATTATTATTATTATTGTTATTTTATTATTATTGTTATTTAATATTCCCTTTTTCATACGATATAGAATTCTCAAATGAAGGTATTTCAACACTTTTCCTTTTCTTATTTCTTGATTGATCCTGACGATAAATACTGAATGACCGTCATTTACGTGATAGCGGTTCAAGAATCGATATCTGATTAATTTATATTCTTTTCGATGTATAATGCCAGCCTCCATGATTTCTGTGATAGTACTTTTCTATAATTTGTGCAGTGAAAGTTTGTAAATGTTTCATAAACATACCTGGATAGGTTATTGGACTAGTAGACATAATAATGTGTTAAAACAAACAAGAAAACAGATAACTTGTTGAAATATCTAGATAGCAGGAACAGGTAGCTCAGATATTCAAACAGACCCCTATGTTTGTCTAATCGTTAATCATTGATTAAATTCAACCGATGAGATTGTAATTAAACCACTAATCTAACCAATTCAAAATAGAATACACTATGGTAAGATGTTAGGTGTTTCAATGTGGTCAATAGTAAACTCTTGACATAAGTTTCGTTCTATATAGCACTCATCATTAAGATTTATTTGTAATTTGAAGGGAATCGATGAAAACTTTCATTGACATTGTATATCATTTGAAAAAAACGGAAATGACTCAAAATCTTTCTTCACAAATGTGGAATACTCTATAAGAGATAAAATGACGTACTATAAAGTTTATGAAATACAATAATTATGATATCGAAAATCCAGTATTCACCGAAAAGAGTTATATTTGCAAAATGTCCATCAGTTATCTCAGACTTGATTGTTCCTTCATTTCCATACTAATCACTCACTGCTATCATTCTCTTCTCGACACACTATCCGTATATATATATATATAATCATGATACTACTATCAAACTACTGAAATAAGATTTTATAATTAGATAATTATCATTGTAAACTTATTAATTTACTTATAATTCTCAATTTCAATCAGTCCCTACAGTGATATATTTGCTTATTCTTCTATATTTAATAGATGTATAGTTATTTCATCAACACCCATAATTAACTGTAATGAGTTTGGAACAAAAGATAAATCTTTTGTACTGATTTAAATAATTTAATCTGTCAATCAATGAAAAATTGAATAATTCAAACAAATCTATTAACAGATTTAAACAAAACAAAAAAATATAATTCATTTCGAATGTACTTAGGGAGAATGTATAGAAACTCTGCGTGTAGCTCTTCTAGGATTACTGCCGCTCCTAAGCCTGGGTAAAGGAGGAGAGTTGGGCATGGGGTTAGCGACTCCATCCCGTAGAAAACTAACTCGCTTAAAAAAACGCTGACCAGAATGTATAGAACATTTATCAATTATTATATATTTCAATAAACAATAATGAAATTTTTAATAGTTGAAATCATTAGTCAATTGAAGCTAGATCACCATGGAAAACCTGGAGGAGATGGACTGCCGTTTCGTCCTAGTGTAGGATTCCTCAGCAGTGCGCATCCATGATCCCGCCTGGCGAGATTTGAACCCAGGATCTATCAGTCTCGCACGAGGACGCTTAAGCTCCAAACCACTGAGCTGGCATCCAATGGCGTTAATGTCTAATTTCAATTAATCAACTAATTCAACTAATCCGTCCAGTGCTTTCAGGTCTTCCACAGTGGTCCATCTACAATTAACTCATGATCTTAACCATTAAAATTACTATAATATCCAAAAAACCCTCTCTGATACTAATAATGAAAGTGTTTATAATTTAATCTTATATGATAGAATGGTAAACAATTTTTATGTAGTAGTTTATGGATTCTAAATGTTTATTTGATCTGTTACAAAGTGAAATTGTCATTTTTATTTGTCATATGCACTGATGATGTTTATTGGGAAATAATGTAGTTATAATATGCTATTATAACGTATGAGGATAACTGTTCTTTTTTTCGGTGTTTATCATAAGTCCAATATCTAGCATTTTTTCATTCATTTACCTGGTGAAGGATGCATATAACAGTATATTGTTTACTAGGGATTTTATTTTAATCAACCAATCCTAGTTACATTATGGTGTGCTACTGATGTCGACAGATATAAGTAGTATTTATCACTAATAGAAAGTGAAATACCTGAATGCAGAAGGCTAGGAAGATAAGAGAAAATAGAACGAGAACACAGAATGACTGGTGTGGAAATGAAGGAAAAATTAAGTCTGAGACGATTGAATGACATTTAGCAAACGAAGTATTTATTGCATGGTTCTCATATTTTACTAAGAGATCCTGTAAGTTTGTATTTAAATACATTCGATTGTCCCCCACTTTTGTTGTCTCTTCCACCATAACATATGTCTTCTGTGAACACTTTAGTGTAGTACATCTTGACTTGCCGGATGAAAGAAGTGAATAGAATGAATGTCAGAACTTGAAATGAACACTCTAGTAATTAATTATGTTCTTATTTGTTGCATTCATTCATTGAATGAGCGTTAAAGTGATAGATATTCAATGCACTCAGTAAATCGAAAAACAGGTAGGTTGAAAATTCACGCACACTTTTCCTATCCTACATTGAGAGATTAATAGTAGATTTTGGAATATTGCCGGAACATTCAAAATAGGATAACAGGAAACTTGTATTTCATTAAGAGCTAGGTGGAAATTTCCTATATATTTAGTTCTTAAAAGCCTTAAGATTAATAAATTTATCTGTTGTACAAACACAGTCTATATAACATAATATATAAGCTAAATGAAGCATCGCTTCTTGATGTGAAT